ATCAAATTTTTATAAGATTTAATTATTTTAAACTATATTTAATTCATGGTCAAAGAATGTCATAATTTGACCAAAAAAGTCAAACTATGTCAATCTTTTACGGACGGATGGAGTATATTTGTATCCTACACAAGACTATTGCATTGTGATGATATGTTATTGTATAGTGTTACCAGAGAGATACGTAAAAAGGGAACCGTACCTCTTTGGATTTCTATTTGATGACACGTCTGTTTGGTAATATCGTTAGAGATTAGCGTTAGTTTTTTGGATAAAATTTTAACGGTACAGATTACTTTGAAAACGCTAATGCTCAACGCTATCCGTTAATAACCTTTTCAAAACGCTAATGTTATTCCCAAACATGCCCGACTTTTCTAGTTTTTCTTATTCTTGTATGGTATAAATAGAACTTTACTTAATTACTCTCCATCTTCCTATATAAATGGGGTTAATATTTGTAATCTTTAACACAAATCAATACAAAAATATTTTTCATTTACTATTTTTACTATTTTTCATAATCGCTTCTTCCCCTGCCGGTGGGCATACACAATTCAATGCCTATCGGCAGAATACTGTAATCTTTTGATTCTCTTTGATGACGCTCTCTCACTTAAGAATCACATAGATTGCTTCAACGAAGAATATTTCTACAGAGACAAGCATCTCTTTCTTTTGCGGACGGCAAAAAAATTGGCATTCGGGTGTTCAAAAAGAATGACATTCCTTTTGTTCGTTCAAATAGGGTGAAAGTTCGAAAATAATGACGTTCCTTTGCTCGACTTATTATTTGGCGGATTTAAAGATTTTGGCGTATTCGTCAAAGAAAAAAATTAATGTGCTTAGATGATACTTGGACAACGATGGGAGCGACTTCCTCAAGCTTTGTCTAATCTTTTGTGTCCAAGCTAGGCATGCAGAACCCACATGCTCTAGCTTGATGGTGGGTGTTGGTGTGAGATGTTGACAAAATAAGGAACCTAACTTCATTTGGGATTCGATTTAATATCTTTCTTAGATTTCCTTTTTCGTATTTTACAATCAAACATCATCGCATATCACTGTTAATTCCATATATATTCCATAAACACACTATTGAGATAAACTTTCACTTTGTGAGAAATGGAATACAAAGGGAATCATGTGCACATGACACATCTCCACCACGGATCAGCCAACCGTTATTTTCACAAAAACATTGGCTTCTACTCAATTTTCTCATTTGTTGTCTAAGTTGGGCACACAAAACTCGCATGCTCTAGCTTTGATACAATTTGATAATAATTGATATTATTGAATAATGAAGGATACATCTATACATATAGGGAATAATGAAGGATAATATACATCTATAATTGATATTATTGAATAATGAAGGATACATCTATACAATAAGAGAGAGCTCTAATAAACATTGTAAAAGAATAGTTATAGTAACAATACAATAAGGAAACAAAAGAACAAAGAATGTAATTAATAATCTATATTATTTCATATTATCCCCTCGCAAGTTGGTCATAGGTAACGAGGAACAACTTGAAGTACACTTCCTGGAATTGAGCTAGGGAGGAAGTTTTGCAAGGATAGTTTCTAAAAGTAGAGAGTCAGATCTTCAATGCATGATGAACAAGCTTGAAATTATGTTCGCTGGGTTTTTTCTTGGTGATAGTGTTGGTGATTGGAGCGATGGCCATTCTCTGCTTCTCTGTTACTTTTCATGCTTCCGATCCCTAGAAAAAACACAAATAAACACAACTCTCTAGTTCTATGATCACACACACATTTTTTGGAAGAGAGAGATAATGGATTTTTTGGCAAGAAAAAGAGGGATTATAGACATTGGCTGTTAGGCACGCTCGTCGAGATTGATCGGTGACGTCATACTGTCGGACGATCAACAAGCGTTAACAGAGACCGGCGATGTGCTCGGTCTTAAAGAAGAGTCTAAATTTTAGAGAATCTTATCCCTGGTACCATGATACAATTTGATAATAATTAGTCTTATTGAATAATGAATAATATAAGGATTACAAGAGAAAGTTTTAATAATAGTAGAACAAGAATTATAGTAATAATATAATAAGAAAACAAGTGAACAAGGAATGTCTATATGGTTTCTTGTTAAGATTGAAGGGTGGGGGTGGGGTGGGGGTATTAGCGTGACAAGCAGTGGAGAAGATCAGAGAATGAACTTTATTGCTCTGATTTACTTTCCTTGTTTGATACTCCGTATAATTTTATTATGGTAGGATAGAATTATGGAAGACTTTATAATCATCTTCTTATATAAAAAGCGATGAGTTTTATAATCATAATGACAATTCAACATACAGATTTCTTTTTATTATTATTATTATTTTAATACTTAACATTTTGAATTTTTTATTATTTAAAGTCAATGTTTAACTTTAACATTTTCAAAGTTAATTTACGCTTCTAAAATTTTATTCAAAAAAATTGTTAATAAATTTTTTGTTCATCCGCTAACTTCAATGTTGTCATTAATTAAAGTGTGCATATTCATATTACGGAGTGGAGTAATTTGTTGCTGATAAACAACTTTTTACTTATAAATGCTTATAGGTTAAATATTGGTTTGTGTAAGTAAAATAATACAGTAACATATAGTAAAATTTGCATTGAATATGACTAACATTAATTTATTTTCCAATGCAAGACTTAAACTTGTTTATTCCCTAAATAGGAATTAGTAATGTCTAGTGAGGAGAAGGAAACATTGGGCAATTTACTTTATACCTACTAAATTGTCCAAGTGATGCTAGACATTTAGTTGAATAATGACTAATAGATAAAAAAACCCCTAAATAGGAGTAAAACATATGTCATATCCTCAAAATAGGAGCTCAAACTTAAACTCCTATAAATAGGAGTAATTAATTAAGTAATAAAAATTCTAAACAAGTACTCCATATAATAACGCGGCCACCGTCCTTTTGTTTAATAATACATGCAGCATGGATAAACTACACATATATGCAGATTTGAGGTGATTCGCTCATGTATGATTTGTTTGTGTATTAGAATGTGAGAATCAATAATCACTTCAGTTTCGTTGGTCCATGTTGTAGCTAGCTAATATATATAAATAGATTACACTACGGTTATAAAAAAAGTAATAAAAGTCCTTATAAAAAATATTAAATCTCTAATTAATATCATCTATATATAAATAGAGTACACTACGGTTATAAAAAAAGTAATAAAAGTTCTTATAAAAAATATTAAATCTCTAATTAATATCATCTCTCTGTTCCCTTTCCTTACGGTCACCCCACCATGCCTTTCTCTCTTCCCTCTCTCTCATTTTTAGACACCACCCTCACTGTTTTGAAACGTTGTCTCTGTCAAATCCACCCCAAGTGCAGTTCATCACTGCCGCTGCACCAGCTTTCCCCTTTGCAGATATGTCACGAAGCATCCCTTATAGATCCGCCGTGGAGCGCTGCCTCTATCTCTCCCCCCTTGCAGATCTATCGCACCGCCTATATCCATAAGAGCTGAGATTGCCGCCAGTCGCGATAACTATGCTTTTGATTTTTAATTAGCTTTCAAATGCTCTATAATTGAGACTGTATTGTAGAAGTAAGAAATACTTCCAACTAATTGCATTCATCCTTTTTTTCTCTGAAAAATTGCATCTTCGTTAGGCATTGATTTTGGTTTGGTTTTTTCTTTTCATTTTTGTCTTTGATTGTTTTTCTTTTAATTTTTTTGATTGTTTTTCTATTAGTTGTGTTTAAATTTTGCTCTCAATTTCAGCAAAAATTGGTGATAGTGATAAGAAACTTGACATTGTATGTTGGCAATCTTGGCATTTTATATTGACATGTTTGAATTACGCAATAACATGTTTGACATTATACAATGATATTTTTATCTGTATGCATTATCATCTTTGACATTGTTGCTTTGGTTGGCATTGTATTGAAATCTTTTTCTCTTGGTAGTGACACCATGACACTATGATATGGTGGCGATAATGGCAGTTCTGATCGCAATGTTGGCAGTGAATTGCAACATTGATAGCAGCAAATGGGGGCGATGACAGCAAGAGATTGTGGCGATGGAGTGGCAGCAACGACAATATAGTAGCAGTAACGACATGTTGAGTGTTACTTCAAAGTCCCACATCGGTGGGATAAGAAAATTGAGGAGGGATTGGAGCCTATAAATAAAGAGGAGATATAGGCTTCCATCACACAACACAATTCTTCAATCTATATAATTGTGTATTAGATTTTAGGTTGTGAGTGTCAAATATTGGAGAGGGTTTGTAATTTTTCCGTGCAAAAATTACTAGTGAGATTTTATCCCAGAGGGGGTCGTGGAGTAGGTCTTGAGGTGCCGAACCACGTTAAAAATTGTGTGCTCTTTTTTTCTTTTTCTTTCCATTTGTTTGGAGTGGGGGCCTAACAAGTGGTATCGGAGCCAAGGTGCAGAGCTCGGGTGATCTGGGAATTATAATTCTTAGTATGCTCTGTGGTTGCAGCTTTGACTGATCTTCCACATCAGAAAAGAATTATTAATTACAGAGTTGCAGTCTAGGGAGGAAGGAGATAGAGCAAGGAGCAAGAGGAGGGCGTGCCACTTCAGTGGATGAGGAGGTGGTCCAGTCAGCAGAGGTGGGTCCGTGAGTGCCACGTCAGCAGTCTGTGAGTCCGAGTGCCAGGTCATCATCCAGTCAGCGCCACATCAGTAGGTCCAGTCATCGTGTGGGTCCCGCTGGTGACTTTCGGAGAGAAGTTGGTTCTGACTAATTTTGACGTCCTGATTCCATTTTTGAGGCCAGTTTCCTCAAATTTGGATTGTTTGGTATTGGTTGATTGCTGCTTGAGTGGAACTATGACTACCTTGAAGTTTGAAGTTCCGTTATTTGATGGAAGAGCGGACTTCATGTTGTGGCAATGCACGATTCAAGACTATTTGGTCCA